AGAGAGATAGAAACATCAATGATGAGAGAGAATCATTGATCCACTGCCTCTTGCATGCCCCCTACTGGGGATCAAACCTGCAATGGGGGCATGTGCCCTTGACAGGAATCAAACCTGGGACCCTTCAGTCCACAGGTCGATGCTTTATTCGCTGAGCCAAACCAGCTAGGGCTGCATCAGTTTTTCATTTATTCATCAAGCATTCACTACTCTCCATTGCCCTGAGGGATGAGGCAGTGCTTCCCTGTGGAAAGAACATCTCCTTAAACTGAAATATAAAGACCAGTTCAAGTTCTTCAGTTGACAGGAGGCAGAAGTTAACCGAAGGGTATTCTAGGCATGGGCAGCAGCAGATACAGAGACCTGGAGATGAGAGAATGTCTCACAGATTTGGGATGGAAAGTGCTTCAGCTGGCTGAAGCCCAGAGAAGGAAGGAAAATTAGGGAGTGATGAGGATAGAGAGGCAATGAGGAGCCAGAGGAATATTTATTGAGTAGGTTAGAAATTTACCAAAATGCCTCAATAACATTGATTCCAGAACTGTGGACTTAGTTGGGGCTCAAAAATGATTTCTTTTTTTAAAAAATATATATTTTTATTATTATCTTTATTTAAAAAAATATGTTCAGAGAGGAAGGGAGAGGGAGAGAAAGATAAAAACATCAATGATGACAGAGAATCATTGATCGGCTGCCTCCTGCACACTCCTTACTGGGGATTGAGCCTGAAACCTGGGCATGTGCCCTTGACTGGAATCCAACTGGGGACCCTTCAGTCTGCAGGCTGGTGCTCTATCCACTGAGCAAAACCAGCCAGGGAACAAAAATTATTTCAAATGATAAAAATATAGTTACAAAAATTAACTTATGCATCAAATATCAATTACATTCTGGAGCTTTGCCACCAATGAGCTACTGATATGAAGGGGAAGCATTGTTCTCTGATCTGGCTATACATACTTTTTCTAAAAGCAGGTGACCTCGTCAAACTTTCACTATCACTTTGGATCAAGGTTTTCATTATCTGGAAGTAATGCCCACACATGACCCTCTTACTCTTAAACCAATTCAGCATTACCTGGTATTGGCTTTTTAATTATTATTATTACATCAGGATCCTGGTTTTCTTTATTACTAAACAGTACATAATTATCACTAACTAAAATGTGAGCTACATTAAGGCAGGGGCACCTCTCAGTCAAGATCATGTCCACTGCACCTAGCAGAGTACACATGAGTATGGGCACTTTTAGATATTTGTGCAGTAAGTTAAATAATTAATCCTGGCATTTTGCCTTGTCATTGAAAATATTTCTAAGCATCATTTTTACTGGATACCTAATACTTGTGTAGGCAGTTGCATAATGCAATGCTTTAACTGGAGCAGGGAGAAATGTGGAGGTGAGAATGGACTATGGGCAGAATAGAGATGAGGAGCACAGGGAAGCACAACGCAGGAAGTAACCTAGGGGAGCGTTGATGAGAACTTGACCTGGACAGTGAGAACAGAGATGCAGCCATGGGAAAAGAAGCTGGGAACATCCTGGTGCCTGATGTGTGCTTGTAAAATATTCTAATCCTCCATGACATATCTTTATGCTCATATAATTATATGTAAACTAGAGGCCTGATGGACGAAATTTGTGCAAGAGTAGGCCTTCTTTTCCCCAGCTGCCAGAATCAACCTCCTTCTGGCACCCGGGACCCAGGCTCCCCTCTGGCCCCAGCTTTGTCCGGAAGGACATCCGAATGATATCTGGTCTAATTAGCATATTACCCTTTTATTATTATAGATGAGCATATAAGTATATGTACATAGACATATATTTACTCAGCTAGTAAGTGCTGACCTTTTGCATGATCTCAGATGGTAAATATATTCTCTCTTTGATCTTTTCCCTCTCCCCATGGTGGTGGTTGTTGTTGGCAGAAATACAGCTTCATGAGAATTTTCACAAAAGTGCAGACTGCCCAATTTAAGATGAGGAGGGACAATATTATGCTGGATGAAGGGATGCTGCAGTCGCTGATGGAGCTTCCAGAGAAGTACAATTATGGCCCGTACGCCAAGTTCATCAACGACTACGGCACCCATTACATAACGTCTGGATCAATGGGTGGCATTTATGAGTATTTCCTGGTGCTTAACAAAGAAAAAATGGAACAAAAGCGTAAGTAGAAGCTTTATGCACACAGTGGCCAGTGCCTACACCAGAACATGGTTTGCAGTTTGCTGAGCACTGACTAGGATCGGTGCATGATCTCATTTGGTCCTCATGACAACTTTATATGGTATCTTTGGTGTTATTTACAGGGGATTGAGGTCCAGAGGGTGAAACAGACTTGCTAATTAAGCACTAAAAATGTGATTTTAGCTCATACTTGTCTGGCTCCTTAAAACTATGTGTTTTTTATTTCAACATGGTAACCTCTTTAGTAATAATCTAGGATTTTGCTATTTAAAACATTAAAATTTATTTCAATGGAGATTCTAGGTTCATGGAACCACCATACCAGTCAGTCAGTGATGACAGAAAACTGGTGTCATTCCAGACTCTTCCTCCTCCTTCCCCCTGGGGATCTCTAAGACCCTTCAGTTCTCTCCCCTGAACAGCTCTCATTCATCTGCCTTCTCTACACCCACTCCAACAGTGGTAGGTGGGCTTCCATCTTTCACTCATTACTGCATGGACTCCAGATAGTTTCTAGGGGAAGGTCTACCCCTTCCAAGCCATTCCCAACTATTGCCACCAGAAGGATCTTTCTGCATCACAGATCTGAGGATGTCACTTTCTTGCCTAATATCCTGAATGGCCAAGAACAAAATCTAAACTTTTTAGCATGACATCAACATGGTCTCACTCCAAACTGCTAGAATAGTGGTCCTCAAAATGTGGACTCCATCTGGCAGCATCAGCGTTACCAGGGAAGCTGTTAGAAGTGCAAATTCTCAGGCTCCCATCCCAAACCCACTAAATTAGAAACTGGGTGTGGGCCCAGTGGCCTGTGTTATGACAAGCCCTCTGGGTGATTCTGGTGCTCACTGGTTTGAGAACCACTGACCTGATCCATAAATGAGTAGAAGGGTGAGAGATCTGTCCATATTTCAAAGCTAAGGTCAAATTCCCAGTTTTAGGAAGTTTCCCTGACTGCACCAGCTCAGGCTGGCCACTTCTTTTCTTCAGCACATTCATATAAATTCCACACTGGTTGGTCTTAAAAAAACAATTTTCCAAATGTTAATATTTTTCTCCTCATGTAGATGGCAAGATCTTTAAAAGCAAGTATCATGTCTGATGCTTTTCTTTCTCTTTAGCACTCAGCATGGGGCTTAGTATGTAGTGAGTGTGCAAAGCAAGACGTGGAGTTTGAAACGGGCATGCATTCAGATCCGTGGCTAGGGACACTCATTGGTTCAGCCATGTATCCCCATATTCATTATTCTTTAATAATTCACATGTTTATTGAGTATCTATGGTGTGTTGGTGCTGGGATACAACAGTGAGCAAATCTAAATATGGTTCCTACCCTCTGTAGCACAGTAGTCTTCCAACTGCAGGGTGCAGCTCCGTAGAAGGTCCTGAAATCAATGTATAGATCACAAATGGCATTTTGAACAACAAAGGGTAGAATAGAAAATACCATAGTGGGTTGTAGGCAGTGCAGGTAAATTATTGCCTCAAGAACCTTTTTTTCCAGTTAAATACAGACACGTACAGAGTCATGATACAAAATAAATAATGTAGTATGGATCAATGTAAAAAAAGAGTTTGAGCCCTAACCGGTTTGGCTCAGTGGATAGAGTGTCGGCCTGCGGACTGAAGGGTCCCAGGTTTGATTCCGGTCAAGGACATGTACCTTGGTTGTGGGCACATCCCCAGTGGGAGTGTGCAGGAGGCAGCTGGTCGATGTTTCTCTCTCATCGATGTTTCTAACTCTCTATTCCTCTCCCTTCCTCTCTGTAAAAAATCAATAAAATATATTTCTTTTAAAAAAAAGAGTTTGAAAAACTCAATTCAGGTGGGTCTTTTTGGAGTCATTCTAAAACATGAGGAAGGAAAAGAGCTAACATTTGTTGAGTATCTATTAGGGTCTAGGTCCTATGGTGAATATTCGCATTTAATTTTCTTGAGGACACGTGGAGGCTGGTGTTATGACAGTTTCAGCCCCAGAAATGCTGAGGCTCCTCGGGGACGTTAATTACTCTGCCCAGAGCTACAGGAAGTTGGCCTCAGAGCCCTGGACCCATGGTCTTTCCACCATGTGGTCATGGGAAAGCCTTTCATTTGGGCTCCGTCTTGGGTGTTGGATTACTAATTAATTGTCTGGGTTATCGCATGGCCCCTCCTCTTTAAAATCTGTGAGGCAGAAATGGGCTTCCTATGTGGTTAATATTCAAAAGGAGCCCACCAACAAATTGTCCCAGGGATAATTACCTCAGCTCTGTTTATAGAAAACCATATGTCGATAATAGCACAATTGGCTATTTGTGAAGGGCTGATTTTCTATAAATCTGGAAAGTTAGTGTTGCTTCTCTATAAATATGGAAATGTGCTAATCATCACCTCATCTGCTGGAGCCCGCTAATAAATCAGAATGTCATTTACATGTTAACCTACAAAGAAAAAAACATCTACCTTCTTTCCCTTTGACAAATGGAATCATGCACAGCCTCTCTCCATGTTCCACGTTTGTCTGGTTTCTCTTTGTCTTTTTCAACTTCCCTCTCTCTCACTCCCTTTCTTTCTTGGTCTCTCTCTCTCTCTCTCTCCCCGTGTCTCTGTCTTTCCTCTTTGTCACTGTGTATATTTAATCTATCTGGATTTAATAATATTTATGTTTTATTAAGTGCTTATTTCTAAGAAACTCCCTATGTGGTATACACATTCATGCCCCCAAAGAGCTGGGCAAGGCATGGGAGCACTTAAGTGAACACTGGCTGGTTTGCTCTGGGGGGATCTTTTGTCCTGGGGTTTGTCTCAGATCCTCCCTGGGTTCATCCTAAGGATGCACAAGCTGTTTGCTCCAATGTGTTCCTTATATAAAATGCTTCTCCCCCAAAGACAGCATGAAATCATGCCATCAAAAACCAGGTAAAGCCTTGGATGCTGGGGCGGTGATGCTGGACTTCAGTGGGACCCTAGACTTTCCTCAAGGGCTGTGGCTCACAGTGTTCTACCTTCTGCAGGAATCAGGATGGCTTTGGGCTTGAATGTTTGAATTCCAATTTTTTTTCTTCTTCTTCATCCCCTCTTTGGAGATCTTACTATTTGTTTTTAGATGACAAAGAGAATAATGTATTGACATGGCTTCCCTGGAATCTGGGCCAGTCACAGATCTGATCATTCACCCTGGGCAGGTCAAGTACTGCAGTGACATTGCTCTGGTCATATGTGTTTCCTGCCTCCCTGTGCACACGCTGTGCTGTCGGCATCCAATGCTCTTCCCTGTCTGGCCAACCTGACAGATTCATCATCCTTCTGAACCCGTATGGGCATTTCCATGTCTGTGAAACCTTCCCTGGCATCCCTCCGCCCCTTCTCCCATGATTTTGTTTCCTTATACATTCACTCTTTCAACCATGTTTATTGAATTTGTATTATGTGCCAGGTGAACAAAATCAATATGGCCCCTGTCCTTGCAAAGCTCATGATCTAGTACAGAAAACGAAATAAACAGCCCCAACTCCAGAAGTCATCTTGGTTCTTCCTTCATGCTGTCACAAATGGCAGGATTTCCTTATTTTGTAAGGCTGCTAATATCCCATTGTATATCTGTGCCGCCTTTTCTTTACCCATTCATCTGCCAACTTGGGTTGTTTCTTTACCTTGACTATTGTGAATAATGCTGCTATGAACATGAGAATGCAGATATCTTTTTGAGATAATGATTTTGTTTCCTTCAGATATATAGCCAGAAGTGGGATTGCTGGATCATAGGGTAGCTCTATTTTTAATTTCTTGAGGAGCCTCCATACTCTTTTCCCAAGTGTCTATACCAGTTTATATTCCCACCAACAGGGGGCAAAAGAGTCCCCTTTTCTCTACATCCTTGCCAACATTTGTGATCACTTATCTTTTTGATAATAGACATTCTAATAGATGTGAAGTGATATATCATTGTGGTTTTGATTTCTCTTTCCCTGATGTTTCGTGATGTTGAACACCTTTTAATGTACGTGTTGGCTACTGCTACATCTTCTTACTTAATCTTCCTATGATTTTGTGTGAGCTAATAGGTTTCCTTACTTCTAAAGATGGAGGAACCAAGGCTGAAAAGTCCTATCACTAGTAACTGAAAAATACACGAGATGGTCTGAATTATGGTCTTGGCTTCTTTCCTTTTTATCTCAGCTGCTTTTGTCAGGACTCAAACCTGGGAGTAATTTTGACATCTTTCCTCTCTCTTCTCACATATCTGGTTAGTCACCTCCTCAGTATCTACAACCTGTCCCTTCCCATGCATTCCCATGACTAGTGCTTGCCATGTTGTGCCATGTTCTCTCTCGGCAGGTCCCCTCCAGCCAAGCAGACATGTGCAGTGAGAAAAGTATTAGAGATTAGATGAAATTTCTCTAAATACCTTTGGGACAAAGATGGTAGTGGTCTGTTCTTAGCTACTCATCTTTTTGCTAATGTAGATAGGTCCTGACACATTTGTTTCAGCTTCTGTGCCCTTACTCTCTCAAAATGCAACATAAAATAGAGTTTTTCTATCAGTTAAAGAATCAAAGTAAGTCTAATAGGATGCCCCTATCAGGAATGCTATAATGGAAACCACACATGGAATAGAAACTAAATAATAGTCCTCAAGAATACAACAGTTCATGATTCTGTAGTTTTGGCTATATTAAAGGAGCTCTGCCAAGACCTTACAGAAATGACTTCTATTGATGCCTTTCTTGCGAAGAAAACCAGTAGCCTTCGGCGGCCCCATAAAAGCCAGCAGGCAATGTGGAGTGGGAACTCCTTTGACTGAGATACCTTTACTTTTCATGTAGGTTCTGTCATTTAAATGTTAATACTTCACATCTCCAGGTCTCATTTTCCCCATAACTAATGTATGGATAATACGCTACTTCAAACAGCTGTGATGAGAATTAACCAAGATGATATTTTTACAAAGCCCTGTGATAAGTAAAACTCTGTTTAAACAGCAGTGACTATTTGTA